ATAATAAGGTAGCCACAATTTTTAAAGCTCTTTTTTTTCCTTTAAGAAATCACATGTCTTTTGATACACTTGAAGGCTGCTCAGATTCCAAATTTTTTCCTTCAGTGACAGAAAATTTAATAAGATCATCTTCATCTTGGGCCACCTTCTCTTCTTTCTTGCATTTGAGATCCTGAGATATTTGAGCTGTAAGAGTATTCCTCCTTAATATCAGCATCTAAATTTACCTGCCATATCTAGTTCTTCATCCAAATGGGCCACAGCTGACTGCAGTGGAGCTGTGATTTCTGGACAAGCCTCCAAAAAACATGCCCTGAATTCATCTTTACCTGTGACCACTAGATGTCTGGCAGCATCAATTATCACATCATATTGGTACCAAGGGCCATCTCATCTGCATACCCAGTCCTTTAAAGTCTTCCATTTTCTTTGGTTTCATCTATGGGTACTCTAGAGGGGCTGTCACTTGGACTGAGGAGCCTCATAGATCAAGAGTGATAGAATCATTTTACTGTTTGTCACCTGTGCCTGAAATGCTCTCCTACCTCCTGGCTTCCTTTAAGTTACAGTTGATAAAAGATAAAATGATGGAAGAAACAAAGATTTGATCTTCTGAGCATTTTGAAGATTGGAAAAAATATATAAGTTTGCATTTTCTTGGTTACCTTGATGACATGTAAATCTCTCTTCTCAAAATAAGCCCATTGCAAGCCCTCTAAGTAGTTTGATCTGTAATGTGACTTACGTAATTCTGATTATGAACATGTGAAAAAAAATCTTGTAGATTTGGCTTATAGATAAGTGATCCATGGTGGAACGGACTGCCCACTCCCCCATAAATCCAAAGGGGGAAAATTGAGGGAATAGAGGGGATTAGGACAGCAAGTGGTTAATTGTGGGAACTGAGTGAACCACACTGACTCCTCTTGTGACTCAATTCTGGAGCTAGCTCAATTCCCTTTTTATTCAATTATGAGTTTAGTCTAACTTCTGTCTTCTGAGAAAACTTGATTCATTTGTGGGAGTTGGGAGAAAACCTTATTGTTTTGTTTGAGCCTAGGCCTTCATGGCTGGGAAGCTAGACCACCCCTACCTGCTGCTGAGAGACCCTTAACTAAAGACGTACTTTATGCTGACCAGAAACTCAGATCCAAAGATTGACACAAGGAGTTTTCTCACAATTATACATCTCAAGCAACCCATATGTCTTATCTGAAAACTGGCCCCTTACGGATTAATCATTGTTTCCATGTTCCTTTGATTGTTTATAGATACTTGAGGGTGAGTGGGACACCTCCTTTTCTGATTTCAGGTAATTGTACCTATTCACTGTCCCCCTCCCAACATGGAAAGTCCCTAATCTTTCCTCCAATTAGAAATCAGACTACCTAACCTTAAATCTTGGTTAATTTTTTCCTTTTAATTAATTGGCCTTATTTAATTAATTATTTTTAATGTATGCAAGTATGTCTCCCTCTGGCTTCAGGGTCCAGAGCTAAGCTGAAGAAGGGGCCTAGTCTCCATTTGTTGGGCAATTGCCATGCATTGATTAATAAATTGGTATGTTTGGAAGATCAAACCTTTGTTTCCTCAGTCATTTCATCTTTCACTCTCCACAAAGTACCAGCTAAAATCCAACCTTTTATGCAGGAAGTCATTCCCAATCCCCTTTAATTCTAGTGCCTTCTTTCTGATGATTATTTCCAATTTATCCTATGTAGCTCTTGTTTGCCCATAGTTGCTTGAATAACATCTCCCCCATTAGCCTGTGACCAGAGAGACACTGATTGTCTTTTACCTTTCTTTGTATCCTCAGTGCTGAACACAGGGTCTGGCTCATGGTAGGAGCCTAATAAATGTTTAGATTGACAAATGGGCCCAGAACAATAATTCACAGGTGACACAGAGGTCTGAGATCTGTTAATCAATCATGCAACTATTGGGCACCTACTAGGTTCCAGGAATTATGGTAGGAGCTTGGGATACAAGTAGAAAGAATAAAATTCTTTTAAGAGTGAAGATTTTTTAGTAATTAACTATTTCATTAAATCTCTTTTTCAATTTGATCCTAGCTAGAGACAATCTTTCCTTTGGAATGCCACCATTCAGTGTTCTCTTGCTAACCAATTTCCTGTATCACAATCACCTTTTACAAGTGTACTGGGCTCACTGCTCCTGGCTGCCACTCTCCCCCTTTGCAGGTCAAGTGTACCAGCCTCCTCAGCCTCCTGAGCTGAGGCCTCCTTGGCCACTGGTGCCACCTCCATTGCCCCCAGCTCCCAAAGATGCTCCTGCACCCAGCTAGTGCTCATTGAGCTACTGCTACTCTGAATCTGTGCCGGACACCACTGCTGGTCCTTGGAGGAAGGGGGGAAGGGAGAGAAGAAGCTACAGTCCACTCTGTTACAGCTACCTACCATCCAGATAGTGTCCCCTCCACCAGAAATAGGCTTCAGCAGAAGAAGGGAGGCCCCAGGCCCTTATTTACTTTACACACCCTCATTTCTCAAGGAAACTTACATACCGTCTGGGGTGCATGCAAAACCCTACCTTGGGAACCGCTAGTCTAGACATTCTCCTAAATAAGAAAGTAGTAATGAAAGTTTAATAGCAAAGGTCTGTTAACAGGAGAAATAATTTCCTCTCTGAGTTTATATAGTGGGTAACTGCCACCAAATATGTATTTACCACAAAGCAGAAATTATGGAGATAGAGACCTAAGTTTTATCATTATGCTCAAGCATAGGTTCAGTTCTCAGAGAAAACCTAAACAATCATGAGGATTCTGACAAGGCTTCTTATAGAAAAAATTTACTATTAGAGTGACAGAGAAATAATTCATTTACATATTACAATCTTGTATATTCCTCTTGGGCCATAAAATTTAAAGAGAATATAGATCCATAATTCCATACTTTTTTTAATGTCGTAAAGGTTGAACTTAAGTAAATAGAATCATAATCTCATACAGCTCCTTAGGAAACTAACTCTATGGGTAAAGTAAGTCAAGTTACAACTTAAAGTACATTTAGAAGGTTCGCTAGCTTGCTGTTTGTCCTTTGTTCATGACATCAGGGAGGTGAGGCTGAGACATGTGATTGAACTTGATTTGAGTGAGTGAGGGCTGTTTGACTCTTTAAAAAAAAAATGATGGGGGGCGGGGGGAAGACTCTCAGGGTTTGTGGCCAAAACCGAAGCAATTGTTATTTACATTCATACTGAACCAATCAGGGTCCAAACAGGGCCCACATAGGACTTGATCTGAGACCAGAGTGATTTGGGTTAACAAATAGGCTTGAAGAGGAGGATTTACGTATCACCAAAGAGTCAGGGACAATTGAGATTCTTCCTCTGGCTTCTTATCTAAAGAATGCTTAAGGCTCTTAAATTAGTTTTTACATCCTTTGGGACAGGTGAGGTTAATACATAGACTTTTAGTTAACAAAAAAATTGCAGGAGGATTGGTTGGTTCTGAGTCCCAAATAACAATAATCCTCAATTCCGATGATGAGTCTAACTTTTGCTCATATCCACCTTGCTGTTACTCATGTTACTGGCTTGTCCTCACATAATAGCATTTCTCCATCTCTGTAAAAAACAACTTAAGAACGATACTACAATTTGAGCTGTTTTTTACAAGTTGGCAAACCCTTTAATCAACACCTACTAGATTAACTTACTAAAATGGCTGAAAAGACAGGGAGGGGCTGTTACATGAGAGCAAAGACTTTTCAGCCTGAGAAGATAGATTAAAGGGGAATGACGCTTCTAATTATGAAGAAAACATGAGCTTGTTTACCTCCATAACCAAGCCGGCCATGCTGTAGGATTTTAGAGCTAGAAGAGATTTAAGAAATCACTCAATCTAACCTTCTCATCTTACAGATGAAGAAACACAGACCCTAAAAGGTAAATCTACACACCTAAAGTCACTTCAATAGATCTATGAACTTATGTAGATGGAAGCAGTCCCTCTACATACTTTCATACTGTGAGGTGTATTTTTGTCAATATATGGAAGCCTTTTCTCTGGATCTTTTAAAATAGGTTTTTAAAATTACATTATATTGAGATCTTTTGTCATTATATTATAGCAATTTTCTACCATGCTCTGGAGGACTTAACTGTTTCAGTGCCAGTAACTACTACCTTGGGGCCCCACTATCTTGAGTGGTGGTTGTCTTAGTTACCCACTACATCTAGGCCTAGCCTAAGCCATGCTTCATTACACTTGATAGGAGCCAGAAACTATGCTCTGGAGCAGTGGTGTCAAATTCAAATAGAAACAATCTTCAGATCGCCTACTGGCTTAGAAAACCACAAAGAAACATTATCTATGTTTTATTGTATTTTTATTTTGTTTCACATTCCCCAAGTACATTTTAATTTACTTCTGGACCCACTGAAGGGTTTTGGTGAGGAGTTTGACACTTCCTGCTTTTTGGATCAATCACTAAGTTGACAAACATTATTAAGCATCGCTATGTACAAGGCTCGGTGCTAAGCACAGGAACAATAATCAAATCATCTCTAGCATTGCTCCTGGAAAGGAGATGCTGATCTAGTCTTCTATGACTCCATGAACATCGCTGTAACTTTCCAATCCAAAATGTCCCTTCCTATCCACCGCTCCCTTCTCTATATTATCTTCTCCTAATATAACACAAACTCTGAGGGCAGGAGCTATCATCTCATAGATTTATACTCCCCATTTGTATTAGTGTCCTGGTAGCCTGGTGCATGTTCAGGTCCCCTCAGCTTACTCCACTGGTGCAGCTTCACCACGTAGAGGATAGAGGATGTTGGGGAGACTTCTGGGAGACTCATGATATTTAAAGGAAATGCCAGGGAGAGACCATGGAATCTGGAGAGACATTATGTGGCTAGCTCTGGATGACTAGTTGAAGAGAAGCTTCTTTGATTGACTTTGGAGAAATTTTTAAAAGCCTGTCAGCCTCAGTGATGACCTGTTTGCCTCTCTTTGCTTCATTCTTGAGACCATGTGGTAAGGAGAGGGACTTAGAGTTGATATGGTCCCCTGAGAAATGACCTTCAATCATTTGCCTTTTCATTCATTCTTTTCTAAGTGAAGGGAGTGGAGACTCCAACCTTGGTTGGGAGAACATGCCTCAGGAACTTGAGGGTCAGACTGGTTTTGCAGTCAGCAAAAGCCCCAAGGAGCAAGGTATAATCTTTGGGAATGACCTCTACACCACTTCACTGGGTGATCTCATCAGCTTCCAGATTCACATGATATCTCTATGCTAATGATTCTTAAATCTAAATCATCCAGCCCTGCCTCTCTGCTGACCTCCGGTCTTGCATCTCCATCTGCCTTTCAGACATCATGAACTGGATAGAGCACCAGGCCTAGAGTCAGAAAGACTCATCTTCCTGAGTTCAAGTCTGACCGCAGACATTTACTAGCTATATGATCCTGAGCAAATCACTTAACCCTGTTTGCCTCAATTTCCTCGTCTGTAAAATGAGCTGGAGAAGGAAATGGCAAACCACTCTAGTATCCAGTATCAGTCATGCCCAACTCTTCATGACCCCATTTTGAGTTTTCTGGACAAAGATGCTAGAGTGATTTACCATTTCCTTCTCCAACTTATTTTACAGATGTGGAAACAGAAGCAAACCCCTTGCCCAGGGCCACACCACTAGTTAGTGTCTGAGACCAGATTTGAACTCAGGAAGATGAGACTTCCAGATTCCAGGCCTAGCACTCTATCCACTGAGCCACCTAGCAGCCCCTTGAAGTAAATGTCAAATTTTCTTTTAAGTAAATGGTAATTTTTTTTCTAATTACACGTAAAAATAGTTTTCAACGTTCATTTTTTTATAAGATTTTGAGTTCCAAAATTTTCTCCCTCCCTCCCAACCCCCAAGGCAGCAAGCAATCTGATATAGGTTATACATGTGCAATCATGTTAAACATAAATATCAACTCTCAAAAGCTATTTGATATTAAGTGGTTAAATTGAACTAGGAGCAAGCCACATCTTCCTAACAGTGGAGGTAGGGAAGAAAAGAGGGAGGAAATAGGTAGTGTTGGGTAGAGCCAATGTCATCAGCAAAGAGCCATCCCTTTCTATAACCCTGAGGGCTGTTACAGCAGCCTGGCCCTGAGATAGTAGAAACAGAACCTACCATGGTGCATTGGCATAGTGTAGAACTTATTTGCAGTGGGGAGGTTCCCACATTGGAGAAAAAGGCTGCCAATAAGAGGAGGCGCATAAATGTGGGCTTTAAGGGTACTGGGCAAAATCAAGATGAAAGGTAACAATATTTGGTATTCCTACAAACTGTTTGCTTTGTGTTCTGATGAAGTTTAAGAATCAACTTCTAAGAGTATGTTGTCATTCAATTATTTTTTCAGTTGTGTCAGAGTCTATGACCCCATGTGGGGTTTTCTTGGCAAAGATACCGGAGTGGTTTGCCATTTCCTTCTCTAGCTAATTTTATAAATGAGGAAACTGAGGCAAACAGGGTTAAGTGACTTGCCCAGGGTCACAAGGCTAGTAAGTGTCTGAGGCCAGATTTGAGTCTTCCTGATTTCAAGACTGGCACTCTGTTCACTGTGCCACCTAGTTGCTCTGCCTAAGAGTATAGCAATAATTACATATTAAGTTACTGAATCCCACTAAAAAATTTTTTTTGGTCATTGTATACTTGTGAGTGCTGTGTGTTAGCATTTCTTTTGTATGTGGTGAACAAATACCTGTTCTATACTTGATTCATATTATACACTGATAATCCCTCACTTAGGGATAGCCTAGACATGAGCCAAAATATAAGCTTTAAGTAAATCTTCCCCAAGGGGTATGGGAGTGGGGTCATAAAGAGACAAAGAGAAAAAGTCTGATCCTTTTTCTAGGTTGTTATGCTCCCTCAGGGGAACCTAGTCCAATCCGGTACATGGGTCCAGAGCAGACAGACCCCTTAATAGGGAGAAGAAGGCAAAGTGCCAATGTCCTCCTGGACCATTTGTGATTTTAAATGTTAGATATGCTTCATAGACAATTATTTGTATCAAGAAATATGCATGAAGAGCTACAGTTTTCCAGATTGTTACAAGAACAACCAGTTTTATTAAAAAACAAAATAAAACTTTAATTAAAAAAAAAGGAAGTCTCTCTGCAAAATTGTGCAACAATATAGGGGTGGAGCATAAGGCAATTATATTATTGCAAAACATGCTGGCTTCCTTGTGTTAAAGTACTTTGAATGTCATTTGACCTAAAAAACTGTTCTTTTTCTTAGTTACACAAATGAAAATCAAGTAAATTCATCCTATAACAAAAATTTCCTACTGTGTATTTGGTACATAGTTTTGGGGGAAAAAACTGAGTATTTAAAATAAATCAATACAAAATCCTCAAATTCATACTCTTTCTGAAATAAAAAGTGAAAAACTTTTTCAAGTTAAAGCTCTGAATAACACATTTATAAAATAATACTCTTTATATAGTCCAAAATTTAAAACATACTTGCTCAGAAAAGGAAATAGGAGGCAATAAAGACCTGCTTATTAATCATTTGACTGGCCTGTAAATGCAATTTTCATTTTGCTTTAGAACCTAGATTTTCTAAAATATAAATGGTAAGAAGACTATTTTTAATAGACAAATAACATAGTGACTGGAATTTATTGAATGGAGGAGGTATGAGTCATGGTTAGATCCTCCTAGAGGAAGATTAATTTACAGCTGATATGGATAACAGGGGGAAGGGTCAAATCAGTCAATAAACATTTATAAAGCAAGTATTATGTGCCAAGCACTGCGGTAAGCACTCTTTGGGTCTCAGTTCCCTCATCAATAAAACGAGGGTGGTGGCCTAGAAAAGACCTAAAGGTCCCTTTCAGCTCTAAGTCTATTACTCTAAATCCATTGCTGTTTTCACTGCACTTTGAATGGACTCGCTTGCCTTAAGTGACACCTTTAAGTGGTGGATTTGGGACCCTTCTGAAACACTTAATTTCAGGAGAAAATACTGCTTTACCCTTTGGCTAATAAACTTCTGGAACTTCTTAGTTCAAGCCTGAAGATGTACAAACGGTTCAGATCAGAAGTTCTTAACCTGGAGAGCTTGAACGGCTCTCCCCCCCATAACTATAATTTAATTGGTTTCCTTTTAATTCGGTTTTATTTTATGCATTTTCAAACATTACCCTGATCGGGGATATAAGGCATTCACCAGACTGCTTAAGGTGTCCACAACTCATCCCCTCCCCCCAAAAGTGAAGAATCCCTGGTTTAAATTCAATTTTTTTTTCCTATTCAACAAACATTTATGAAGTGCCTACTATGCGCCAGGCACTGTGCTAAGAGGGGAGGATACAAAAAGAGGCAAGAGTCTCTGCCCTCAGGGAGCTTACACGCTTTTGGAGGACACCACATACAGGGCAAGTTACATCCTGGAGAGAAGGGGAAGAGCTGACAGAGGGAAGGCGGGCATTAGGAGGGGCTAGGGAAGAGCCATCCACGGGTGGCCCGGGTAAGGGGCAGTGGGCCCGCCTGGGGGCACGTGACATCACCCGAGGGCCCTCCCGTCACTATCCCTGACTGGCCACCGTCGAGGCCTGGCTCCTGGGCTCCGTGGGCCGTCTCTGTGCAGGGCCCTGTGTCCGGTTTATCCCCCGTGGCCCTTTGACTCGCCCAAGGTCGCGCGCTGGCTGGAGCCTCAGCCAAAAAGGCACAGCTGCTCACGTTCGATAACAAGGCGGGAAGCAATTATCCAGCGCCCACTGTATACCAGGCACTGAGCTGGGCGATGGGCATGCACGGAAAGGCCGAGCCCCCCTCCCCCGAAAATAGGAAGTTCCTCCCGGAGTCACACGGTCCCGGGCCCCGATAAAAGGGGAAGGTCCCTAAAAGTAACGCTGACCCACGAAATCCCCGCCCCGCCCCCCGGAGCGCGGCTCGGAGTCGCTGAGGAGAGTAAACAGCGGGTCACGCGCCCCGCGAGCGCCCGCCCCCGGCCCCGCCCCACTCCCGCTCTCGGCTCCGATTGGCCCGGTCGGGGGCGGGGCTTGGAGGGGGCGGGGCTTCGCGGCGGCCCGAGCCCGACCGGGCGATAACTTAACCCCGATCGCCGCCTCGCCCGGTTCTGGCTCCTGCCCTGTCTCTGTCACGATGAGGCTTCGGACGGCGGCGCTCCCGCCCCTGCTGCTGCTGCTGCTCCTGCTTGGGCCGGCCGCTCCGGAGGAGCCCGACCTGCCCCCCCGCGAGGACGTGGCGCGCGTGGCGCGGTTCGTGGCCCACGCCTGCAACTGGGGCGCGCTGGCCACCGTGTCCACGGTACCGGCGGTGCGCGGGCGGCCCTTCGCCAACATCTTCTCCCTCAGCGACGGGCCGGTGGGCCAGAGCAGCGGCGTGCCCTACTTCTACCTCAGCCCGCTCCAGATGTCCGTGGGGGACCTGCAGGTGAGGCCGCGGGGCGGGGGAGGGGGCGGGGGGCGTGGAACCTCCACTGAGGGTCGGGGGGCTCTCCGCGAGTCGAGGGGCCCGGGGGGGAAGGGGGGATAAGCGCCTACGACGTGCCTGGCACTGTGCTGAAATCGGCACGTTACAAATATTTTCTCGTTTGATCCTCACAACAGCCTCGAAAAGGTAGGTGCTATTATGATCCCCATTTTACAGTAGAGGAAACTGAGGCTGAGAAGTTAAATGACTTGTCCAGGGTCCCACAGCCCGTGAAAACCCAGGTCTACTTGAATGACTCTAGGTTCAGTACTCTATAAATTACAGACAACTTGACATTTGGATAATTTCCCACACTGATGGAATCACAAAGCCAGATCCCTCCCCACCCCCAACAACAACAACTACAAGAGAAAACAAATTGGGGTACCCTGCTAAATAAGACACTTGTTCCACACTTCACTCTTCCTTCAAGATCCAGTTCGTATCTCAATTTCAGTTTTCTCTTAGGAAGCCTTTCCCAATCACTCCAGCAGCTGGGGTGACCTTTCATTATTATTACTATATTGTAACTGATCATCATCTGTCATGTGACATCTATTGCATTGTACTGAATTTTTGATTTTTCAGTCCTTCATAACTTTTTTCCAGCTAGAGAGCTTCTTGAGGGCTGGGGCCTTGTCTTAAAATTTTTTTCCTCACCAGCACCTTCAAAATTGGTGCTCAAGAAATAGTATTTGTTGGATTGAGAAGTGGGATCACACAACACTTTGCTTGTGGCCTTTGTGGTAGTTGGGACTCAGGGCCCCTTGTATTTAGAGTGGCTGGGTGGGAGATCTTTCTGGGTTGGGGTGGGGGGTGCCAGGGCTGCCTCTGGCCTGGTGTCTGAGTTAAATATGCCCAAAAGAGTCTGTACAGTCTGAGACCCAAATTGTGACTTGTTTTTTATCTAGCAGTGGCACATTTTACTAGCCTCATATCCCAGCAGACACAGGCTGTGAACAGTATTTGCTTAGCGTTTTGCAAACTTTAGTCTTAGAAGAACCGGTCTTATCTGGATCTTACAACAGGAATAAGCAGTTTCTTCTATGTTAAAATCACGTGACGGGTTCTGCTAGCCCATGCTATCCGAAATACGAAGTGATTCAGCCACTTTGGGCTTTAATGAATTTTAGAATTAGCTACTTGAGCAACTTCTCTCTGTACTGAGTTTCATATCACATCATAACCTCAACTCAGAGAGAGAATTATGGCTAACCATGTAAGTTCCTTAGGGGCATGGACTGTCTTTGCTTTTCTTTGTATCCCCAGCACTTTGCACATCCATAGGCAAGTCAAATAAATACTTAATAAATGCTTGTGGATCAATTAAAGACTAGAATTAGGCTCATTAGGTTCATAAACAGGGAACAGCACTTTAAAAGTTCATTAGTCAGGGACATGTGTTTATTCCTATTGTAATTATTATTCCTTATAATCCTAATTCCTAAATTGGTTTAATTGTATTGTAATTATTACTTCTTAATGAAGTTTGTTTCACTGATTTCAGCGAGACAGGAGTTTTACATGTATATGTGAATTGTGCAATCTTATTTGTTATCAGAGACCCTGCCTTGCTACTTTTATATTAAGTAGAAGCTTATTTAATTTAACTGATGGAATATCATTCATAAGCCAGAAGGATTTAGAGTGAAAAAGAACCTCAGAGATAATTTATCTCAACCTCCTCATTTTGTAGATTTGGAAACTGAAGCCCTGGGGAATTAAGTGATTTGTACAGGGTTACATAGGCTGAAAACTGAAGAGTCAGAATTTGAACCTGTGATTGCTTGGGTGAGGAAACTCCCTCCACCCACTGAGCTCGGAAGCTCTTAGTGGAAAGGGCAGAGGCATCCAGCTCACCAGAGAAAGATGCCCTTGGAAATGTTTAGCACAGTAAATGAAAATACATAGAGAATCTTAATTTGTGGTTTTCTAAATCACTGTGAGGCCATTTCTATTTGAGTTTGACACCACTCGCCCTGAGCAGCAATAGGTCATCCAGCTTCTCAGTGGCCTGGTGCTTTGGGCACTATGGCACCCCCTAGCTGGTAGTACTACAGTGAAGCAGCTTGATATAGTGGAAGAGAGCTTAAGAGTCAGAGTCAAGGATATGGGTTCGAATCCTAGTGCTGTTCTTTGTGAATTGCATGACTGTGGGCAAGTAATTTCATCTTGCTGTACCTGAGTTTGTTCACCCACAAAATGAGAAGGTTGAACTAGATGGCCGCTGAGGTCCATCCAGCAATGAGACCTGTGAGCCCTTCCGGCAATAAGTTATCAGCTCCCTCGTTCTGGACCCTTCTGTTCTCTTAACGTGGTCTAGGGTGGAGGCGGCAGAAGTGTGGGTTGCCTTGTCGTGCTGTTGAGCACAATGAGTTTGGAGCCAAATAAAACTCTTGCATCTTTTTCGCAGGGACTCTTTTCTATACTTCTAGCCCACAGTTGTAAAGTTGACATTTGTGAATCAGTGTTTAATACTTGACATTTATTTATCCAATTTCATCTTATTCTATTTGATCGGTTGTACTAGCGTATCAAGTTCTTTTCTGGATCCAGATTCTGGCATCCAACCCTCTTAACTTCATGCAGCCTGAAAGTTTAATGGCATGTCAGCCATGGCTTCATTCAGATAATTGATGAAAATGTTGAAAAGCACAGAACCAATCATAGGTTCCTGTTCCATTAGATATCTCTCTTCAAGTAAATATTGACCCATTACTTTTTGGATACAGTCATCCATCCATGTCCAAATCCACCTATTTAGACTATTATCCAGCCCATATCTCTTCGGCTTATATAAGGAAATCTAAGTAATACTATATCTACAGCATTCCCATGATCCACAAGGGTAGATACTCTGTCAAAGAAAATAAGGTTAGTCTGGCATGACCTGGTCTTGATAAACGTAGGCTACTTTTTAATAATCACTGCTTCTCGGAATCTATCCATTTTCTATTTTTGAAAACTGGGACATCATTTGTTCTCCAGCCTCATAGCACCCCTACCATTCTCCATGAATTTTTCAGAGATCACTTGACTGTAGGCTTAAGAAGTATGCCTGCCTTGAGTAGAAGATGCTGTCTATAATGGTGACTATTTGAAGCAAGGAGGTGAATGGAAGTGGCTATTGAAATTGTGCAATAGTGTTGGGGGTTGCGTGGCATCTGTGAAATTTATTCCCTTTGCAGATATCACTTAACAGAAAGATTTCAGTCTTCATTGTCATTCTGCAGGTGAATCCAACTGCCACTTTGACAATGTCTTTGGCACAGACTGATTTTTGCAAGAAACATGACTATGATCCTCAGAGTCCCCTTTGTGCTCATATAATGCTGTCAGGAACAATCACTAAGGTAAGTCGTTATCCATAATAAGAAAGATAGACAAAATATTGTGATTTTATTTTTTTAATCAAGTAAAGAAGAACTTGGTGAACTTAATTGTATTGATTTGTGATTAAGGTTGTAGAGAGGACTGTAGAGGAAAAGTATCCTAATATAAGGTGGTAGACACAACATAGGTGCAGCATCTCTGGGTTTAAATTTGAAAAATAGCAAATGATGGCCAGGAGAGAAACAGAGACAAAATGTGGAAGAAATGGTAGGTAAAATGTCACCGTATTGATCTTAAAATTACTTATACTGCTGGACTAACCTTCTTTGTAGTACTTCGAGTGTTTTTTACTTGAGGAAAGCTTTATTTGAAGAGCAGTTGGGATCGCTTGTGGGTATTTAGTTGCTGAAAGGGAGAAAGTGGCAAAAATAGCAGAGGGAAATTAGATATCCTAAATGTTGTTCAATCCAATTCCACTCTTTAAATAAATGTTTTGTTGTTGAATTTTATTTAAACGTTTTAAGCGTTTACCTCCAAATGTATATTAGTTTTGTCTTTTGTGCACCTTCTTCAAATGCCATCTATACTGTTAACTTTCTATCAGTAACATATTTCTTTTCTTTCAAACTGTATACTTAACAAATTAATTGTGCATGTTTGGTTTAAGAATTCTGAAGGTAGAGGTATCACAAATTTTACTGTTGTAACTAGTACGGGTTACTTAACTATTTTAAGAAATGCCATCCATTCTCCAGAAAGATAATTAGTTCTAATAGTATTTTCTCCTGTTCTATATCTATTATAATGATCTTACTTCTCCCTATTGCCTGACTTCAAAATCAAGATTTATAGATGATTCACTCTGTAGATTTTTGGAACTACATATTCTTAATAGACTAGAGAGTCAAGTATTAAAGCTGTAAGAATTTTTATTTCCAATGGAGAAAAAAATTACATTCTTCTTTGATAATTTTTAGGTGAATGATACAGAAGTGACCTTTGCAAAAAAGTCATTATTCAGTCGTCACCCTGAAATGGAATCATGGCCTTTGGATCATAACTGGTTCTTTGCCAAATTGGCTATAACCCACATCTGGGCCATAGACTTCTTTGGTGGAGCCAAAACAGTGACACCTGAAGAATATTTCAAAGCCAAACCTTAGTAAGTACCTACCTTCTTTCTGATAATGTGGCTCTTTCTAGTAGTCTATATACTTGTTGCCTGAGCTCCCATAATTGATTAAAGTTTAAATCCAGTGTTGGGGTTTTGTTAAAGATGAGGAAAATTTGAAACATCTCCCCCCCCCCCCCCCCCCCCCCACCACAACCACCAAATGAAGAAAGGGCAGGGGGAAGGTACTTATAACTGACTCTTCTAGACTGTAGACCACCCATTCTCAAGAGTCTATCTACACCCTTAGGGCAGTCCTTAGAGACCCAGGTGTTTCTAGAACTTTTTCCTTGTTCAGTGGGCCAACAATAAAAATAGTGAGTACATGCTGGGAGTTGTGGGCTAGTGTATCAGGAAATTAGGATATTGGAACATATTGGGGAAGAACCACAGGAAAAAAAATATGGGAGAAAGTTGAATGAGGAGAGAGTCCAGAGGAAAGGGAGAAGACATTTTAGCAGAGGGACAGGAATTAGGGAATGAGATCAGATTCCATGGAGTTCAGGGAAAGGTTGGTGTGGTCATGTTGAAGGAAAAGGGGAAATAGAGACTCACAGCTCAATGGCCATATTCTGGAAGCCTTTCCTGATTTCTTCAGTGATCTGTACTCTCTCCCTCTTGAAATTATTGTTATATACTTGGTATTTCCTTAACTTATGTCCCTCAGTAAAACAGAAGCATCTTGAGGATAAGACAAAACAGTTTTCATCTTTGTATCACCAATGCCCAACACAATGCCTTGATATAGTAGGCGTTTGATAAATGTTTGAGCTAAAATGAATTGAATTTTGAGTAGCTGCTTTGTCAGTTATAACATTTTTTATTTGAATCAAACTTTATTTGTAGTGTTCTAATAACAAAAATAAACATAGAACACTGTATACTTTACAAAGTACTTTACACACAATTTAAGACACATAACAGGCCCCGGAGGTTGAGAGTATGAATGCTGTTATTCTCATTTGTAGATGAGGAAATGTAAGGTGGGAGGTTGACGTGGGCCCATGGTTACAGGGCTAATGAAGAGTGGAGCAGCACTTAAACCTAGGTCTCTTGACTTCAAGTCCAGGGCTCTCTGCACAACATCATGGTGCCTTTTCACATTATAGAAGTGTTTTATATGCAAAACAATTCAACTGAAATAGAACTCATCTCAACCCTTGGCAAAAAAATTGTAGGGATTAAGATTTGGCCAGTGTGGTAGGAAGAAAATTTTAAATTAATTTAATCCTGGGCTAGTAGTTCATTGTGATATAGGAAAAGAGGAGAGCAAACATTTTTGTGAGGGAAAGTTTATCTGAAAAATTGGTTGTTGAAAGAATTTTTTTAGGGGAAAATATAAACAATATTTGCAAATGCTTAAATCATTCCTTCTCTTTCCATGAATAAATATTGATTTTAGAAGGTGTGTTATTTTTCCAAATAACAAAAAGCTTTTTAAACTAGAATTTCATTTTGCTTAGATGTGATACTTTCAGAAAGATTTACCCTGTAATAATCTCCATAGGTGCCATTTGCCAATGCTAATGCTGAACTGGGATGAAAGGAAGACTATTTAAGTGTTAGATCAAGTCAGCAAGCATTTATTATGCATCTACAGTTATCCCTTCCACACCTTAGAGGTTAGTGGTGAAGCTCCCCTGTGTTCTGGAAAATCAGTGCAAAATTTTTTGGCCCTCCCTTAGCACCAGAGTAGAAGTCTGAATTATGATGGTGTTAAAAGATGAAATATGTTAATGTTATACAAAATTATATATATATATATTATGCATTTCTGAGTTTCTGAACTTTTTCTGTGTCATCTCCTGACCTTCACATGGCTTCACTGTGGCTTCTGCAAAACCCCCAAAATACCCACTTAATTTCTTATGCCGACCTGTGATATGCCAAAACTGAGATGGGAAAATTTGTCCCAGCTCTGCCACTTACTGTAATTCCTCATCTGTGAAATGGGTATAATACTTGTATTACCTGCTTCATTGTTACTAAGTATGAGTTATTATTGGTAGTTTAATAAACTATTCTTATTATGTCCTGCTACTTCTCGATTATCACCTATTCGCTGCCATTCAGAATGTTAATTAGTAGTCTATTTAACCATTGTTCTCCCCTAACTTTGAAAGGGGTTGTTTTGAACCAAAGTTATCAGAGCAGCCCACCAGATGAGAAATTATCTTGTGGACTAATAATAACCAAAGCAGTATTACTTCATAGACTAGATGAACTTAGGCTGGAGATCTAATGCCTACTTTGGGTTGAAGGTTCCCAGTTTCTGTCCTAGAATAAATTATTTTTTGAAGTATTTATATGTGTAAACTCAGTTTAATAAAAAATTCTTTTCTTCCTTCCCCAGGTTAACAGGAATATAGTCAATTCCTTAATTTCGTCAAGATACTTGAGTCACTTTGTTTGGGATACATAGAAAAACTGCTTAAAGTTCTTCTGTGCATAGTTTTATAAAAGAAAAAAAAAGCTTATTTTTATATGCTTAATATTAAATTAGAGGCTTGCTGTGAGAAATTTAGATTTTAGTATTTTTATGAAATTAGAAAAAAAATTTTTAAAGAAATAATATCATTAAGGAATCCTAGTTTCATTGAGTATTACAGTAGTTTCCCCAGAAACAAAAGTTGCACATTTAAATTGGCCTTTGAGATTGGAAGCTATTTCAGCATATGTTGTTTATTCCTGGAGATCTCTTTGCTCACTAAACCTACTATTCACTACCTACTGAGGCCTCTGAAAGCTTTATCTGAACAGGATGAAAAGGGGTTAATTTGCCCATATATTGAATGTGCCTGAATCTTGCCAAACAGAAAACCTGTTTATTTAAACACAAATGGAACTTCAGACAGCTAATCAGCTTATGTATGGTGATTGTGGGGCTTTCGCTTGTTATACAGGAACAAAGCTAGACTCAGAAGAAATTGCTGTAACAATAATATAGAATCAAGTAGGCATGTGAAATTTTTCCTGTTTGATTTTACCCATTTTATTTGAATTTCTTCCTTCTTATGGTTCCCTTCCCTTAAAAAAAAATAAATGTTTTATCTCTTGAATGGAAAGACAGATTCCACAATGGAATTTGTGGGTAAATACTGAGATCCTTATTAACCAGATGAGTCCATGGTTTCAGGTGCTGTATCAGAGCATAATTTTACCCATCCTCCAGTGTCCTTCAACTGTTGTTTATGCTTTCTTACTTTTTGCAAATAAGGTCATTCAGGCTTCTTTAGTTGGTCTTTTCAAGCCCTCTTGAAGGAAGCCAGGAGATGGGAAGATCATATAAAGAAAAGGAAATATTTTTTCCTCAAAATAAAATGTAATGGAGGACATTATTGTTAATGATTATAAAAGTAAGTCTGAATACTTTTGAAAAGCATGAAGAGTGATTATCTTGAATGTTATGAGGGATAATATGGTAGAAAGGCCAAAAAGATCTGGATTTAGATCTCACCCCAGAGACATACATACTGACTGAAGGACCCTGAACAAGTAATCTTACTTCTTAGTGTCTTAGGCAACTCTCTTAAAGCTGTAAGTTGCAGAGAAGGTGCTGACTTGCATTGGTAGAAGAAATTTCCTTGTCTGGGAGTTCCCTACAACAATTAAAATCACAGGTCCAATTCCTAACCCCTGTTTGAGTTGTATAAAATTGGTAATTATTTTAAGATTATTTTTATTTTCTTCCTAAATAGCATAAACTAAAATATTCTTTTCTAAATCTCTAATGGTCATTTTCAGACAAAATTCCTTATTTGAAAGTGTGTGTAAGCAGTAGCCATAGTGACATAGTACTTCTTGGGTTCCCTTCATAGCTCTGTTACTGTCTCATTTTTAAAAACTCTGTATTACTAGTTGTTTAAATCAACATCAAGGGAGTGAAATAGGGATGAAACCTTATATGTAAGGTCCTTTAGAATTTCATTAAGTAAGATCAGGTCCTATATAGATTTGCCTTACCCTGAATTCTGTCTTGCAATGAATAATAGCTCTTCAACAAATGTTTGTACTGTAAATTGAGTGCTCTTGAGGTTCCAGTGAATTTATGTAACTCAGAGAAACACAATGTTTGAAAAGATTTTGGGAGCTCTTTAGATGAAATGGGTTTTTAGAAACCTACCAGCTCCCTTTCTTTAAATGCTATTAAAAAAAAGAAAAGTATTCATTTATGCTATGCAGAAATAATTTCAGTAGATGCTTCAGGACTCCTTTTGATGTATTGTATGTTGGAAGTTAAGTGCCAGATTCAAAAACTGCAAAGTGAAAAGTGAATGTATTTGAAAACTCTAAAATTGATTTGTAGTACTCCATCATGTTTTCTATAAAATTTTGTTATGAGGTTGGTCTCTCCAACAAAGCACTAATAATTAAAATTTGTTCTTTAACAAAGTGTGTCAGATTTATTGTCTTGTATAAAGGCCTTATTACTGATTTTTGCTTTCGTCTTGGTTCTGCTGTTAATCCTTTCTATTTTTGCTTTCATTTTAGCCTGGCTGTTACAGCAACAGCCAGAGAAGATAAACTGCTATTTCAAAGCTCGGCTGATGATCTTTTGATTAAGTGCAGGATGCTTTTTCTTCCCTATTGCCAAAAAGCTAATCATATCCTGAAATTTATGGAAAAGCCAGAGTCCAGCATGTTGTTATGGAGACTTGCCTCTCGTAAACTTCCCTTATGATACAGATTAGGATGACGATGACCAGCCTGGTTATCTCCTCATTTATTGTTAGCCTTGGAAACTTTTATTCCAGTCCTCTCTTTCTACCATATAAAAGCCCTTTGGAATTCATTTTAAGTTCTCATTTTTCTTATAAAAGTAAAGTGAACCAGCAGGTGCTTGCTTTTCTTTTAATTAAATACGAAGAGCATTAAAACCTGAAGCTATACATTCTTATTGGCCACCAGAGGGTACTGTAGACTACAGTTTTTGAGTAGATGAAAGCATTTTATGCTAGATTTGGGGATTTAGAGCTGAAAGGGGCTTTAAAG